GTATACCTATCATCGACGATGACGTCACTGGTAAGACGATACCTGGGTAAACATTGGCAGCATTTAAACTTCTTCTAACCGACGCTCCACAGTGTACCCGAGGAAGGCCTATTAAGAAGGCCGAAAACGTTTGTACTCCAGTTAATAAGGCTAGAAATTAGTGAGAAAGGTTTTGTGCTGATAATCTTAGAAATAGTTCTAGCTGCATATGCATAGTAGTATGGTGATTAAGTTGTTTATGGTAAATAAACTTTTGTAAATCATTAATTACTCAAGTGCTTTCAAATTTATATATATATTTGAAGTCTTGTTTGATAATGAAATGATCACACTGTTCATTTAATAATTTTTGATAAAACAAATAATTCCTTTTTATATAGGCTTGCAAAGTTTTGATGTTAGTCATTTTCTAATGATCCTAATTTTTTAATTATCTTAATGATATGAAAGAATTTAGTTGTATATTGCAGCAAATATTTATCATCATTTCTCAACTGACAGGCCAAGCATTTACAAAATTTAGAAAAAAGATATTTTCTAAAAATAGAAATAAAAGTTTTTGTAATAAATACTTTGATATCTTATTAATGCTTATATAAGCTATTTGTCACTTTTAAGAATATGTTCCAGATATGGATTCGTGTTCCAATGCGAGCTCCCTGTGATGACTGCAAGATTTATGTAAATGAACCACGTATAAATTGTGAAGGGGATTCTAATATAGATTTAGATGTACCTGAAGAAGATACTTGGCATTGGTAATTTTGCAATATGATTATTTAAAAATTTAATGTATAAAAGAAAGTTCTCAATTAAAAATAAGTAATCATATTTATAAGCCATTTATAAAATATTACTTTTATTCACTATTTCAGTTATTAAATATAACTGCAGTAGTAATATAACACTGATATTTTATAAGTATTATTGTGTTTGTTTTATAACATTTTAAATTTTATTTTGCTTGTAATAGGTGGAATATTTTTCGTAGTGTTTGCAATACTGAGAAAAAGTTAGGCTTAGCTCTAGAACTTAGTGCTGATTTGCCTTCCCAATCAGAACTTGAGAGATGGCTTGGAGAACCATTACGTTGCATCATTGTACCTACTTCAATATTTTTAACTAATAAGAAAGGTTATCCAGTTTTATCACGTGCTCATCAAGGATTCATTCAGAGGGCTTATAAGGTAAATATACTAAGTGAGATATTAGTAAAAATTCACAAAATAGTAAAAAAAAAAATGATAAAATTGATCTTTGTCAAGTTCTCAATTATAAGAATTTAATAAATTGACATTTTAAAAAAATACATACACCTCTCTACAAAAAGTTTCAAAATGATGAAAATGCAGTAACTTACAACAGATATAAAATATTAATTTATTGAATCATTATAATTAAATTAATGATGTCTGAATGAAAATCAGTTTTATTATGTATTAATATTTTGTAAATTTTTTTTATTGTGTGAATTTGGTTGTGATGGTAGTTCTGATAAAATCTTTGCTACAAAGAGGATAAAAATTATGGACTTCATTAGTAGAAAAACAAAAAAAATCTATTATGAATTAGTGTTTTTTTTATCAGTATGAAATTTTTTTACATTAAAATACAAATGCATTTTTTAGAAAGTATTAGTTTAATTTTTTTAAGTAATAATTAGCATTTTATTATTTATTTGTTCTTATTTATTTTGTATATGTTTGTAATTGAAGTTATTTAATTTGAAATCTTTTATCTGATACATTTTTTTAAGTGTATTGATTTTTTATTGCCTTTTTTATGATTTTTTTTTATGTATTTTAAATTTTACAAGTTAATTCTGTTAATTTTGAGGATAATTTGTAATAAAATCAAAATATATTTATAATAAGAGTATTGATTTTGGAATAATTGTTTAAATTTTTAGTTACATACATAAAATTATTGTAATTTTAATTATTTAGTTAGATGTACAAGTAATGATTAAAGGAGTAAATATGCATGGAAGTATTAAACATTATCAACAGTATATGGAGCATTTATGGTTGGTAAGTAACTTTATTTTTATTACAAATGAAAGAGAAAGTGGGAAAAAAAACTATAAATTTTGAATTTAGACTCAACCTCCAGATGATACACTAACTCAATTTGCACGAGGATACGAGGATTACTTACAAGTGCCATTACAGGTAAGTTTATTAATTTGGAATGTATAATATTTTAAATATTGTACTGATCTATTTTTTAATATATAGTATATAAATTCATATCATACTGACAATACCAAACAAGTAATTTTATTTAAAGTAAAAAATATTTTTATCCCAGATCTTGTCAGTTGTTTTACAATTGAAAAAACAAAAAACATTTTGCTTATAATAAAATAAGTTTTTTTTTTACAATATAATCATTTTAACCATTTTAAGACAGAAATCAAAAGTATTTAATTCTTTTAAATGTTTACTAATAATGCTATTCAAAATAAGGACTAACACTTTGATCAAAAAAACTTTATTGCTTCAAGTAATACTGGATTGCTAAAATAAAATGCATATGATTTCAATAAATTCAAGGAAAATTGTATATAAATTTATTATATTAAATTTCTTATCTGTATGTGTAAATATAATATGAAATTTTTCTTAAAAGAATATTTATTAAAGAACTATAGGATTTTTATGAAAGTAAATTATCAGTGGCCATAAGGTTAAACTGAATTGAAAGATACACTCAGAATACATAGAAACATGTTTTAATTAAGATTAAATGATAGGGAGTTAAAGTAGATAGCTTGAATCAACATGTTTTATGCAAATGATAGAAATCTATCAATAGTCTGTTCTTAAGCAAATGAATTTAACTGCAGTAAAAATTTAGAAATTTAATAATATGGTATAAAGAAAAATATTATATATATATATATATTATATAGGGTGCATTTTTTTATTTCTCTGTGTAACTCCATACATACAGCATCTGTTTAAAAATTCCTGTGGAATATGTTCCTGTATTCTGGATGGAGCGTGCACCTGAAGGACTTCAAAAACGGCTGTTTGTAGTAATATCAATAGTTTAAGGTGGAAGACAACATGGTGTCCTTCATTGCTCAGATAATCTTGTTTCAGTGTCCATTATGTGATTTTATAAATGAAAATTTAGTTGTGAAAGCACACATTAATGCACATGATGATGTAAGTGTCATCTCAAATTTTTTTTGAATGGTAGCTGGCATTTAATTTTTTCATGGCTTCTTTGAATGTTCTGTCAGCAAGACAATTCGTTTTATGGTTAAATTTTACAATTTGGATCTTCCTTTTAACTTCTGTCTCTAAAAGTGCACATTTTAAAATTATAGCTCCCTCCATCATGATACTTTCAATAGTACAAGTGCTGCCATCATTTTCTTTCACCAGTGTTTCTAAATGCCTACAAACAGCAGTGCATGTTTGTGATGGTGGAGATGCAGAGCAACCACTAATGAATGCACCCTTATACTGATGTACCATACTTTCATTAACATTAGTTTACTTAATACATTTAATAATATATATCTTTAAAAATATCACATATTGTTTTTAAAGTATTTTAAAATAATTTACAAAAAATAAATAATTCTTAATGAAAAAGTGGAGATTATTTTTGAAAATTAAATTGTTTAAAGGAAATGTAGCTTTATTCATAATATCTGGACAATTTAATAAATTAATCAATATTTATCAGATTGTGCAGCCATTTTAGTCATTATTCATAATGGCCTATTACATTAATCACTTGGTCCATAACATATATATAATCTTACAACTTATTGTTTAATTAAAATTAATTAAATTAATTAATTAATTAATCTAAAAATAAAAATAAAGTGCAAAAAATGATAAATGTTTGTAATTTAAATATTACTTTATAGTTTTTATTTTAATGATAATTTTGCTTATGTAAAAAAAAGTTGGGTTTGATTAAATTTTCTACCAGTTTATTAATAATATTAATGAATTTCCTGAATTCTATAGGACAAATTTAATAAATTTATACTTATGATGTATTACATGATTTATTAATAAATAATAAATTAAAAAAAAAAATAAATATATATATATATTCCTTGTTTAGAAGCCATATAGTTTGATTGTGGATTATCAAATTATTAAACTTAAAGCATTTTGCTTTAAATTTAATAATTTGGTGATTCTAAAAGATATCTTTTTCAAATTAATAATTTTAACTAATTAAAAATTTTAGTTTTTAAAATTGAATCTTTAAAAATTGAAAATGATAATATACTGGAAAGAATGCTCAATTAAATATATCTAAATATGTTAAATTATAAAAATTGTCTAAAAATCATTTTTAAAATCATCTTTAAGCATTTTTCAAATCATAAACATGTACCAGATCTTTTAAATAGGTACCAGATTACCCAGATAATAGCTGTGGGCTCAAAACTTTGGTATGCTCAACTACAAAATGGATACTTGATTTACTATTATTAATTACTCTTAAAATGCATATTTAGTTTGCCCTTACTCTAATTTCAGCCTCTTTTATTTTTAAGAAAAGATATTGTTTAATTTTTTCTGGCTTATAACTTTTTGAGCATTTCTAAAAATGCTGCTAAAAAAAGAGGGGAAAAAATGAATGGATATTAGTAATTTAATTTATTATCAAGAAGTTACCTAATATGGAATATAATATAGCTATGGAAATAGTCATTTTTATTAGATAAAATATAATTTTTATTTACAAAATTATTTAATATATTTCTGTATATAATTTTAATTTCAGCCTTTAATGGACAATTTGGAATCTTGTACATATGAAATATTTGAAAGAGATCCAGTTAAATATACTGAATATCAAAAGGTGTGTAGACTAATTTCAAAATTTCTTGATTAATTTATATTTAATTACAAAAAACTATCAGAAAGATGCTTTTGATTTACATTTTCTTCACTTCACTTTTTTCTCCAAATGATAATTATTTTATAATGTTTGGTATTTATGTATTTTGAAAAAAATAATGATTTTTTTCAAAATTGATAAAAATGTCTATAGAGTAGTGTTGCAACGAATAGTATATTCGGCCAGGAGTGTGGCCGAATAGCCGAATATTCGGCCAAACTATTCGGCTTGATTAACGCACGTAAGAAAATTGGTGCGCAAACTGCATTATGGCAAGGACCCTGCTCTCTATTGGCCCGCTGTCACTAAGCTTCGCCAATTGCGTTAATTCTTGGCAGTTGTAGCGGACAGACAAGAGTGTCATGGAAGTATGTGATAAATGATGATATCAAATGTGGATAACAATGAAATGACCTACATGTGTAAATAACGGAAAAAGAAGAGAGAAGGACCGCGAAGTGAAAATGTGAAAATAAATATGAAATTGAGTTAATAACATAATCGAACAAGTCGAGGCAGCTTATTGGCACGAAATTCGCGGCCGTCAATGCCAAACAATTGTTGTCATAGACTTCGGAAAGCTAAATGCTTGTAATGAAAGTCACTTAGCGTGCACGGGCGAAAGCCTGGGGCCGTTCGGGCTATCAAGCTGTCTCGAATCTGTGAAATCATAACTGTGACTTATATCGACGTCCTATCTGTCTCTTTTCTCCGTTATCACCAGGCTGAGTCACGTAATTGTAAAATGGGAACTCTACGACGGAAAAGTGACGAATCGAAAGTATCGTGAGCGCGTATTATGATGTATGCACAGGCATACATGGATTAGAGTGATAGAGGAAAGAGAAAGGGAAGAGCAAAGACGAGCGCTTAAAAAGAAGGATAGGCAGGGTCAGACCTTCAGATGTGCGAGGATTCTCCAATGATAGACGTGTACATGTGCTGATCCTTGTAATTATGAATTGTGAATACATGTGACTAATATTATTTTCTTTTTTATTTTGTGCATGTTACAAGTTATAAATAAATATAAACAAACAAACAAATGTTATTGAGTTAGTAACTAACTCAATAACATTAAATCTAAATACCAAAATGATTAATTTACTGTGTTTTTGTTATTTATTACTCCTGTTTTTAGGTATTCAGTATTCGGCCAAATAGTGGAAAATAGGCCGAATACCGAATAGTAACCGAATATTCGTTACATCACTACTATAGAGTACTTTAATATGTAGAGAAATAATCACACAATTATTGTACAGTGTTGTTTCAGTCTCCTACCATGGAGGATTTGGATTCAAACCCAATCCAAACTGTTAGAATTTATCATGGATTGTACAGGTCAGGATATCATTCCCAATTCTTCACTTATATCGACCAATTCTATTGCGTATTATGTCTACCTGCAATGTTTTATGAACTACTTAGTATTGATTTAGTATCAGATAATATATTAATTGTGAATGAACTTACTACTAATTCAAAACAAGAAATCTTTGCAGTTCATTAATAGTTTTTATTGAACAAATATTGCCATATATCTTATATTGCTATTTTTAGATTTTAAAATCTGAAGATTGCAAAAGTACTTGGTTTGGATTATTTATAGTTTATCCAACTTGATTATTTTCTTATTTAATGGACTTAAGTCAGAAATTACTACATTTATTCTTTCATACATAATAATGTAAAAATTATTGATTTGATTAAAACTTTTTTATCAATCCTTATTGTAGAGGTCAAGATCTTTGTAAAGGGGAAGCATAACACAAAATAAATCATATTTTTAGTACAAAAACTTCTTAGTTTTATAACATTATTAGTAAGAAATGCTTATAAAAAAGAAATAAACAATTTTATATAAAATTTCTTAGTTTAATAACATTGATTACATAACTATAAATATTTTCACTACTGTACTGTAAATTCCACCTTATTTTTTTTTTTTCTAAATTTTGATAAAAACTGATTTACCTAACAATTTATTTATAAAAAAATTTGTTTTTATTTGTTTATTTATTAACAATATGACTCCATATTTTAGATATTGACATGTTATAGCAGAAACAATTGCTGATACCTAAGACATACAGTAGAGCATCGATTATCCGACCCCCGATCAACCGTCACATCAGTCGACAAATTCAAATGTCCACTAGTGATGTGGCACTACAATATTTGGCTATGTCTTGGCTACTTTAATATTATATTTGTTAAATTTTTGCTGTTTTAGCTGGCAACAGCGGCTCGACCATGAAAGGGAGGCCAGTATTTAAACGAGGCTTAATTTTCTAATTATGAGTGGTTGTTTGTTTTGTGAGCAACAAAATAATTTTTAAAAAATTTTTGTTAGGCTTAACATTAACGAAAATTCAATGCAAAGTAGGTTAATAGCAATATACTAATATACTAATTACATGGGATATACTAATGTACTATACTAATAATGTATTTTTTCATACTTTTCAGTTATCCGACCAACCCCAGTCCCCAATTGAGTCGGATAAATCGATGCTCTACTGAAATTTGTACTGCATACATGCATGCATGCACAGAATTATAATTCAACTTTAATTGCATTAGGATATGTATTGGATAATTTTTATGAAAGTATTTAACAATAAGCAATTCTGAGATAAACAGCTTTTTTTTAAATTTCTTTATACCTAGGAAAATGTTTACCTCTGTTGTACATCCCTTATGTCTTGTTGTGTTTTGCTATTTAAAATCTATTTAATTAATAAATTAAAAATAATTAATATGTAATAGCATGCATAATGTACACATTATTTAAATAATGTTTAACTTTATCATTTATATTGCTTTATGTATTACAACAATTAATTGTGAAATAAAGTGAAACACCTAAGTAATTAGTAGGATTGAAAATTAAGAATTTTTTAAACTAAAATACAGTGGAACCTCGGTATACGACCTTAATCCGTTCCTGGTGTTTGGACTTATACCGAATAGGACGTATATCAAACCAACCTTTTCCATAAGAAGTAATGTAAAAATGATTAATCTGTTCTCATGTAAAAAAAATGGCTGGCTTTAAACACCTCGCTTTCCTGGCTAGTTTCTGCTTGATTTTTCATGAGATCAGCATGTATCCTTTTAA